AATTCCGCCTGCCGTGGCCTCCCAAAGTGTTGGGATTACAGGTGTGACCCCGCGCGCCCGCCCAATGATTTTCTTATTCCAGTATGGCTTGGCTCCCTTCCACCTCCCTTTGTGCTGTTAATGTCAAACATATTACCTTTCTCTGTATTATAAACCCAACAATACAATTAATATCTAAGTTTTGTTGTTGTTGTTTTGAGATGGAGTCTAACTCTGTCGCCCAGGCGAGTGCAGTGGCGCGAGTTGCAAGACAACCTAACCACAACAAAAAATCCATTCAAGAAATTCTCCACAAAGCCTACACAGAAAGAGAGAGAGAAAAAGAAACAAACCAACCGCCTGCCTACCACATATAATAGAATATATATAATATAAAAAAGTAAGAGACAGGTATATATGCTAGAACTAAGATCTCGAATAGATCGGTGAAAACAAAAAACACCATCCGACAAAATCACAGTCGAGACTGCGGATATAAGACAGAGATAAGGCCAAAAATTAATAATAAGATCTTTGTCACAAATGAAATAATTTAAATGTGTAGAAACAAGATAAGAAGAAATTTGCATTAGCTAGATATATATAAATATACAAGGAGAATAAACGAGAGGAATAACAGACAACCAGGAGAAGGAGACAGAATATGAACGACTATAAATAGAGCTACAACATGACAACAAACAGGATCAAACTAAGCCTACACAACAGAGAACACACATAGATAATTATTATATTTATTATAAAAAAGACAGACTCAAAGAATAGAGAGGAAATGGCTAGAGAACAGACATATATCACAATGGTAGACACACAACGCTGCAGAGAAACATCACACACAAACAAAAGCAATATACACGATAGAAGCACATGATAGCCATAGAAGGAAAAAAAAAAAAAAGATTACTATATATATATCTTCTTTTAATATCTAGAGAAATACACATAACATTGATGACACACAAAACCAGAAGGATAACGAGATGCAGTGCGAGATCTCTGCTTCATGCAGCCTCAAACTCACAACAGACGCACAGAGAGTCTACAACAAACTCAGACACAATACATAAGAGTAGAATATAAAGGAAAACAAGTAGAATGCCATGAACACACACAATATAATTAAATACGCACATAATAAAAATATATAATAGACTAACACATACATCCACGAGAAGATCCAACCCTATACCTAAGCCTCAAAAAACTAGACGAGAGAGAAGATATATACAAGCATCGAGCCACACAAAAAGAAAACACAACAAAAAGAATATATAATCTAATTTATAAGAAGACAAGATCTCATATGAATCGACACACAAGCACCAAAATATACATACACACACTCTGGGGCACAAACACCCAGAAAAAACACCTAGAGAGATCCACCACACACCTCAGGAACCACAAACGAAGAGTTTGGGTTATAAGCGTGTGAGCCCAAAGCACCTCGGCGGCCTCTCATGCCAATCTTTCCTAATTACAGTACATTACCTTTGCTATGCTGTTCTTCAGATTTCTCGCATGGATTGGCATAAATGTCTGGTGTCCACTTGTTTTCAGCTAAAGAATTCTTTTGGGCGGGTGCGTGCTCTAGCTATAATCCCAGGTCTTTCGAGACCTAGGTGGGTGGGTCACCTGAGGTCAGGAGCTGAGATCAGCCTGCATCATGGTGAAACCCTGCTATCTATTAAAAAATATAAAAATTAGCTGGGTGTAGGTGGCGGGCGCCTGTAGTCCCAGCTACTTGAGAGACGAGCTGAAATCGCTTGAGCCTGGGAGGCGAGTTGCAGCTGAGCCGAGATCACGCCACGTGCACTTCCAGCCTGGGCGATAGGTGAGATCTGTCTCAAA